AAAGCATATTAGTGCCTGCTTACAGAAAATGGCTTGGCATTCAGGCTTTCCTCTTCAACATTAATTGGGTTAAATTACCTGCAGTGAAATCAGAGCCTTTGAGAGAAAGGCAAGAAACAAACAGTAAACTTCAGATGAGAGACAAAAATACGTCTCAGACATTGATACGTTCTTGCTCAACCGGTGACATCGGGGAAGTTGATCAGGGTCATTCAGAGGCAGGCGAACTTAAGGGCACGTCCTGATTGTTGTGGGGGTAGAAAGGAAATCGGGGCCCAGGGAAATCAGAGTTATGCCGAGAAAAGAATGGATGAACCTTGCCATAGGACAGATGGCAAGAAAGGAAAAAGGCCTGCAAACAAAAAGCTGAAATTCCGAGAAGAATTTCAGTCAGAGCCTGGAGATTTCCATTCGGAAGTGAAGAATACAATCGTAGTAGAGCACAAAAGGTATTGCGGAGTGTGAACAGAATGACTCCAAGGCAGCTGTGGTGGGTATAAATAGAATGCTTCTTCACACAAAGAGTGATTAACACATGGAATTCACTGCCACAGGAGGTGGCGGGGGCTACAAGCATGGATGGCTTCAAGAGGGAACTGGATAAACATATGGAGCAGAGGTCCATCAGTGGCTATTAGCCACAAGGTATAGATAGGAACTCTTGGTCTGGGGCAGGGGATGCTCTGTATTCTTGGTGCTTGCGGCGGGGGGCAACAGTGGGAGAGCTTCTAGTGCCCTGGCCCCACTGGTGGACATCCTGATGGCACCTGGTATTTTTGGCCACTGTGTGACAGAGTGTTGGGCTGGATGGGCCGTTGGGCTGGATGGGCCATCGGCCTGATCCAACATTGGCTTCTCTGTCCTCTCAGCAAGAAAGTTTTGGAGGGGGGGGGGTACACTGAATTATAGCAGAGACAGGTATACCATGGCAAAAGGAATTTAGGAGAAGGGTGATGTTAAATAACCCAAATCATTCTTTTATAAAAGAATCACTGGCTTATACTGTTATCAACAGCTACACAACTCACAGCCTGAAAACACATTTTGAGCGATGTGGATATTAATATAGCCAGAGGGCTAGATCTTCTGTTACTGGAATGGCACATGGGGAATTGATTTTGGGTGGTACGCTGCTCCAGTAACCTGTAGGAGAAGCCGCAGACTCTGACAGATTATGGTTTTCCTTCCTATATTAACTTGACTGGTTTCTGCACTGCTCTGGTAAAATTTGGGTCCAGAGAGCCAGCTCGAAACAGATATTTTGGGGGCTTTAGCCGAAAACACCAATGGCAACCACCTTTCCATTAATTCCTGTGGGCTCTTCTGTTCATGTCTGTTGGGCCTATCAAGAAAAATGTGTGGCAGTTAAAGCTCATCTTTCTGTCTTCCACTCTCTGTCTTCAAAAGCTGCTGCCTGATGCGATCATAGTGGAAATCATCATCTTATAAATGCATAATATAATAATAATAGGACATTCTTTATGATAATAGCCTTAGCTTTGGCTTTCGAGTACTCACCATGTCTCATACAGAGTAATTACTCCTTTTATTAACACAGTCCCAGGGTTAACAGTAGGGCAGTGCAGGGTTGCCAGCCTCCAGGTGGGGCCTGGAGAGCTCTAGAAATCGCTACGGAGCTCCAGACTACAGATGTCAGTTCCTCTGAAGAAAATGGAAGATCTGGAGGGTGGACTCTGTGGCATCACACACCACTGAGGTCCCTCCCCAAACCATACCCTGCCCTCCTCATGCCCTACCCCCAGATTTCCAGGAATTTCGCAACCCAGAGCTGGCAACCCTAGGGCAGTGGAACCATCCTCAGGAAAGCCAGGCGTTCCAACTGCCTCCTGGTTCTTGGCGTATGTTTCCTACCCTTGGCTCTTTTGGTCTGCTACCCACAATCCTGGCACCAGTGAGCTCGTAATGCTGGCTATGGCTACCCCTTTTCTTGTCGTGTGACTTTGATGTCATGTGACTTCCAGTCCTATGCGCTCATGTCAGCTGGTGCCTGGAATGTTGAAGTTGAGTCCTGGATCTAGACAGATTGAAATTCACTACTGGGCTGTCAAAGTCAGTACTGCTTACTCTGACTCACAACGGCACCTAGGGTCTCAGGTAGAGGTCTTTTACCTGGAGATGCCTAGGCTTCAACCTGGGGCCTTCTGCATGCCAAGCAGTTGCTCTGCCACTGAGCTTGGTCTCTCCCCAACAGGGAATGCAACAGTGATAATGACAGAATGGGAATCACAAATGCAATTGAAATCGCAAATATCATCAATCCAGCTTAGCTCGATTCAGGCACTGTTAAAGGGTGCCTGGCTATGTCCTGCCTTCCCTTGGTTGACCTCATCACTCAGTGGCAATTTTGAGATGGACTAGAGAGGGCGGAAAACAGGAGGGCCTGGCGAGATCTTGTCCATGGGGTCGCGAAGAGTCGGACTCAACTGTGCGACTGAATAACAACAAGAGAGGGTCATCAGCTGGAACTGGAAGCAGGAGTGCTGGATGGATCTCTGGTTGCTTCCTGCTCTCCCTCTACCTGCCTCATAATGGCAGCTTGTAGGTGGAGGGAATCATAGAATCATAGAGTTGGAAGGGACCTCCAGGGTCATCTAGTCCAACCCCCTGCACAATGCAGGAAATTCACAAATACCCCCCACAAACCCCCAGTGACCCCTGTTCCATGCCCAGAAGATGACCAAAAAAAAAACCCTCCAGGATTCTCCAGCCAAACTGGCCTAGAGAAAAACTGCTTCCTGACCTCAATGTGGTGATCAGCATTTCCCTGGCCATGTAAGAAAGGGCCACAAGAGCGAAGCACTGAGGCAACCCCTTCCTGCCCTCCCTCTCATGATCTGCCGAAGTTCACAGAATTAGCATTGCTGTCAGATGGCCACCTAGCCCCTAGCCTTGCATGGAGGGTGAGAACTTTCTAGCTCCTTCCTCCCTTCCTAGTGTTGCCAGACTCCAGGTAAGGCCTGGAGAACCCCTAAATTACAAATGATCTCCAGACCACAGAGATCATTTTCTCTGAAGAAAGTAGTGCTTTGGAGGGTGGACTCTATGGCATTATATCCTACTGGGGTTCCTCCTGTTGGAAATATGTGAGTTGCAAGGTCTAAGATTCAGTCATTATAGGGATAATCTTTTACCTTGTGTGCTATTGTTTAGCCTGACCCAAAAGGAAACCTGGCTCAGAGCCAATGCAAACATAGCCCAGGGAAATCTGAGTCTGTTTACTAGCAATCATTGGTTAATGTAATCAGGTGACTTCCTTCTAGGGGTCAAGAAGAAGAATCTCCATTGTTGTGTGACCATGTGGTCTGTTTGTTTGTAGCTGTAAAGATGGGAAGATGTAGTTCTAGGTATCTCTTTTATTTTGTAGGTTTCCTGTGTACCCTTTTTCCTTAGAAATAAAGAGTTTTACTCAGAAAGAAATGCCTCCTCTCCGGTGAAGCAAAGATCCATTGCAAACTCTGAATATCTAAGTGTTTTTGCCTATTTTCCCCTTCCCCTCTGTTACGCCAACTGCTTTATTTACAGCAGAGGCTAACTAAATTTAACGTGAGTCCTGGCCAGCTATACCAAGGTCGTGTCTGAACCCAGAGTTCCAGTAATGGAGACCACACGGGTCTTTTTCCAAAACAAATAATCTTTTTACTGAAGGATATCAAAGTCACACATACAAAATAATCAGTCTCACAATAGCATACGTTCAAGTTCCTTTAGAGTTACAGAAATAGAAAATAGTTTAGTTACTTAGGAGGTAGGTAGGTAAATCGGTTTATACTTGCCTGTTCCAGAAGTCTTGTCTGTTGCAATGAAAAATAAAGGGACAGAAAATAGTGTCTACAAGTTTACCTAAATCACACTGTTCCAGAACCAGCCGGTCAAGTGTGTGTGTGTGTGTGTGTGTGTGTGTGTGTGTCTATGTGGATCTCTTTGGCTGCAGTCCAAAGAGATCCATAATAGACAGAAAGGATTGTTGCATAACAAGAAAGGAATTCAAACTATAAAGGAGTTGATGAGAGGAGAGGTGGCTAGCCTGAAGCATGGTCTTTGCGTTGATGGTAGAATGTGGCTAGCAAAACCTTAACGCATGGTCTGTGCATTTTATATTTGAAACTCCAGGTGGGTGGCACCTTGCCAAACTGCAATCCCACCTACTTACAAGTCCATCCCATGACCTCCCTCATTGGTGCATGTAGAAAAGGGGGTAGGTATTCTATGGGTGGGGCGATATTTGAAACTCTACACTCTATCTCATGGAATACCGTCTGGCCAGGTGTGAAGTCTTGGCTTCCTGTATCCTCTTTGAAGTACAGATGAATCTTGGCTTTCCCAGGCCTACAAGGTACCATCAACAGGAAATGGCAATTCAGATGCAGACCAAGTCCGTGTCCTGTGTGACATCTCGTCTCTTTAGCAATGGGGGAATTTCTCCTTCTTGGTTGTTGTTCTGCTCACAATGGCTAACATGTGCTTCTGCTTCCCATAATGCCTTGAGCTGAATGTGTGCAAGCTACATTAACATAAAATGCATGCAAATGTTCCCTATGTGAATTCTCTCACAGTAGGTGATGCAAGCAGCTTCCTTTGGCCCATGGTATACAGATATGTGTGCACAGTCCATAGCAGATATAAAACCATAAATTAGTTCATTTCTCAACACCTCCCTAGGCTCTACCCCCAAATCTCCATGGATTTCTCAACCTATTTCCCCTTTGATGGCCTCATACATTTGGAAGTGGGAAGGAAGGGTCAGAGCTGGATGCGGATTCAATGGAGAGAAACCTGTCTGCTTCCTGTACCCTTTGCTTTGAGAGCCCCAAGATGCCACTGTGATGGCCTACTTAAACATAATCTTGCCAACAAGAATAACTGCTTCGTGTAGAGCCATGCTTTACCTAGTTACATTTGACTTACTTCTTCCTCCTGCAGAGAAGATGAAGACTCTGGGCTTGCTCATGTGATCTTAAAGACGATGTTTCTACTTGCAGGGGTTAAGCATCTGAAAAACCAGACTGGCTCCGCATTCCCAGAGGAAGACGAAGGGGTCAACGAAAGGGATGAAGAGTGGAGCCCGTAACTGGTGCCGAGGGTCTGCGGGGGAACCTTTCTTGTCAATAACTGAACTGCTAAACTTTCCGTACTTACAATGGAACTTGGATGCTTCGTGTTCCTGACCCAAAGCAGTCTTTACCTCCATACCCAACAGCAGGGAATATTTCATGGTAGAATCGACAGCAGTTTGCTGAATTGGCCCGTGAAACCTTATAACTGGGGTGGGGTGGGGAATAACCCTTTCTTTTACAGTTGTTTTCCTTCTTGTTTTTAATGACTTCGGATATGTCGTTTGCAAACGTGTTAAGTCTTCTCTCTTTAGTGTTGCCACGTCTTAAATTCTGAATGTGATCTAAGATTGATTGTAAATAGCACAGATTTGAATGCTGCAAAATAAAGGCAAAGAACATTTAGACAAGATGGGTTTTTTTGCACAGTCCATCCCTCCAACCAGAAGGAGACCCACACCCAGGGGGACCTCTGAAATCCTAAAGAAATCCTTTCAGATAAAAAGTCACCCCTGCTACCTTTGGCAGGAAGCTTTTGCTTCACCGTCCTTCCTCCGCTGCATGGAGTGGAAAAAGCTAGTGACATTAAAGTTGTGAACGAGTCTACATTTGACTATTGCATAAATTATATTTAGAAGGTTAATTCCACAAACTTGTAAAGATCTCAGAATGAATTCTTTTAAACTATATTTTAAAAATAATTTAAACATTATAAGAGAAAACAGAATCAAGTCAAATTTCATTACACAAAATGTTGTCCTCTACAGGGGTAGACCTGGCCTCTGGAGAACAGGTCTACCCGTCCCTTGCCACTGTATTGGTAGACCTGGTCCCTGGAGAACAGGGCTACCTGTCCCTTGCCACTGTATTGGTAGACCCGGCCTCCGGAAAACAAGTCTGCCCACCCCAGTCCATTTTTTGGTAGACCTGGCCTCCAGAGAACAGGTCTGCTCACCCCAGTCCACTATATTGATAGACCTGGCCTTTGCAGAACAAGTCTACCCATCCCTTGCCACTGTATTGGTTGCCAAACTACTTATTTATTCAAATATTTATATCAAACTTTTCCCTGTTACTGAAGGCAGCTTACAAATCATACTGAAAGGCATAATAGGGGTTTCCCCCCGGGTTCAGTTTCCCCCCTGGTTCAGTTATAGCTATGGGGACCATTATAGTCAATGGGCCCCATAGGCTATAATAAAGAACCAATCCAGGAGTACCTGAGGCTTTTTTGTTAGTGGAGAGGAGAGTTTTTTGTTCTCTCTGGGAAGTCCAGAAGACCTATTAGTTTAGGTAAAGTTATCCTCAACCAGTGTGCTACATCTTCAAAGGCCAGCAGGTTTAGCCAGAGAGCCATTTATCCCACAAGCATCACTTCTGACGTCTTGATCCAAAAAGTCTGGGAAGGGGCTTGATGATCCCCCGCCATTCTGTGCTCAAATCTCTCCACAATTCGACAAAAATAATAACATTTCCTACATAGCTAACACTTAATCTACAGCCCAATTATCTGTCTTCAGCTGTCAGGTTTCTTTCTAGTAGCACCTTGTGGGAAATCATTCGTTCCGAAAGGGGGTCAATAGTTATATAATGACCAAGTGGAAAGCAAGTCTGGGAAGAGAGGAATCAAGTGGCGGGGGGGGGGGGGGGGGCCTGGTCAGGCCAATGCCTTGCTGCCTCGCTTCTTTCTCTGATTGACTTACCTGTGCTTCCTGAGACAGTCCTGTTGGATATACTTCCAGATACCTGTGAAAGGAAAACACAAAAGATATTAATCTAGACATAATTAGCTGTAGCCAGAATAACTATCGCACAGAAGTGGAAAGGAAAAGCCATACCAAACATATCTGATTGGCAAAACAAATTATGGGAACATTTTATCTATGGGAAAACGACTCATCAACAATCACCAGAGTATACCAAACAATTCCAAGCAAATTGGTTCCCTGTAGTCCAATACCTTGCTGAAGGTGAAATCATTCCGAGGAATGAATACTTTACAAAATTATTATATTTCTGAACTCTGCATGACCCCTGTAGAAAACACACTGACTAACTTACATTTCAGCCATGCACTATATTTGTCATACAATCATTTTATTTTTCTCTTGTATATTATCACTGTTTGCTTGTCGTTATCCTGGTTTATATTGGAGTATATATGTTAAAAATAATTTAAAAAGTTAAATTAAAAAAAAAGAACTCTCTCAGCCTTCACAAAGGTGGTTGTCGTGGGGAGAGGAAGGGAAGGCAATTGTAAGCCACTTTGAGACACATGAGGCCTCCTGGGGGACCTTGGGCCTCTCCCAGTTTTCTCAGAACTGTCTCAGCCCCATCTACCTCACAAAGATGGCTGTTGTGGGGAGAGGAAAGGAAGGCAATTGTAAGCTGCTTTGAGACACATGAGGTCTGCTGGGTGACCTTGGGCCAGGCACAGTTCTCTCAGAACTCTCTCAGCCCCATCTACATCACAAGGTGGTTGTTGTGGAGAGAGGAAGGGAAGGCGATTGTAAGCTGCTTTGAGGCTCCTGAGGGTAGAGAAAAGTGGGGTATAAAAACCTACTGTTCTTTATCTTCAGATTTATGTTAAATATTTTTATCTTGCCTGTCTGGAGGATTACTTAGGCGGCAAAGAACCATATAGAAATGATGCAGAACAAATTTGGCCGACACAACCTAAACTATTAAGAGAAATAGCCATGAGGCATTGTAGAACATTCAATAATCAATACGCAGCAATTCATTCTTCTGTTTATCACCAAAGCCCTCTGAAACAAACAGGGATAGGAGAGACATGTTGTTCCTTCCCACCTCTTCCTCCAGGAGCAGCCTTTGGGCCTCAAGAAGGTGATACGAAGGGCTGGAGAACCTACATGGATTAAAAGCCATGTAACATGGATGGTTGAACTTCAGGAGGAGAACATGGACAAGATTCCCCTTCCTGTCCGTTCTGCTTCCTGACAGGTGAGGCAGAGAAGGGCAATTTCATCCCTCTAATCAAAGTGGCCCCCTGAATTTAGGGCATGGCTTTTCATCCACGTGGGTCCCCAAAGCCATAGCAGATCACTGTTGGGGGAGAGAAGAGTTGGGGGAGAGAAGAGTTGGGGGAAAGTCCACCTCCACCAGCACCTCCCCCACTGGCATGGCACAGAGTCCAGCTCCAGGTTTTCACTGACTGGCAGAAAGCAAACAGTGACGGAGATGGTTGTGTTTCCCCCCTCAGAGAATCATTCCATAATTGTGGCACCAGCAATATCCATAGCCAAGTCCTTGAACCACCAACTCTACCTCAGCTACCTATTGATGTGAAGGAATGGGGTTTGCGGGAAAGTTATAGCAAGGGATTTCCGAGGGGAATTAAATTCCCCACCATGAAGCTTGCGCTTAAATCTCTGTCCACAGAAATGAAATGGGTTGCTAACCATGCAGTCCTGAGCAGGTCTAAAAAGGTCAAGGTAAAGGTTCCCTTGCTCGAAAGCCAGTCGAGTCCGACTCTAGGGTTGCGGTGCTCATCTCCGTTTCAAAGCCGAAGAGCCAGCGCTTTCCGAAGACGTTTCCGTGGTCATGTGGCCGGCATGACTAAACACCAAGGCGCACGGAACGCTGTTTCCTTCCCACCGAAGTGGTACCTATTTATCTACTTGCAATTTCTTGCTTTTGAACTGCTAGGTTGGCAGGAGCTGGAACTAGAGACGGGAGCTCACTCCCTCATGCGGCACACTCGGGTCTCGAATTGCTGAACTACTGACCTGCCACAGCCTGCAGTTCAGCGTCTTAACCACTTGAGCCACCGCTCAGTGAGCAGGTCTAGTTGGAAGTAAATCCTGCTGCACTCAATAGGACTCACTCCCCAGGTAAGTGTGTGTCAGATTGTAGTATGAAACACCTAACTTTAGCTACCTTGTGCCCACTTTCTTTTTCTACATCCCTCTTTAAAAAAAGAGAGTCAAATATGAGTTTAGAGTTGTCCCAGCCAGGAACTAGAGATGTTGGTTCCTTACTACACTTTCCCTAAAGCATCCGGTCCGGTTCTCCTGAGCCTCTCTAATCATGCTAATTATACAACCATATGTCGTCCTCCTCTTTCTTTTCCTGTTCTAATGGGACGCCGATTCCCCTCCTCTGAATATGTCATTCGTTTATTGCATTTATCAAGGGGTTTTAACACTATATGGGCCTTTTAATTGCTTTTTTGAAACACACAGCAGAAAGTTATTAGGAACTGACATGGAGGTCAACAGTCATAAATAAAAATGCTATTTGGATGGCAGGTGGGTGTCTTTTATCATCATTATCATCATCATGTGCTGCAACTCTCAAGCTTGTTATACACTGTAGTCCTTTTTCATGCAGGGAATGTACAGACCAGTGCGCAGAGGGTGCAAAGGCAATCTAAGGAGGAGGAGCAGGTTTCCGTGTGCTGCTGTAACTGATGGATTGGGTCCCATGTGTGCCAAAGGGGGTACTATGCCCCTTTGCTGGATACCGAACTTCCCGCTTGGATTCTTGTATTCAGTGTGAGTGCCTGCGGTGCGAGATTAAAATAACACACGCAGGTTCCTCTGCACAGCATGTGGTTGGCACACTCAACCTTGGTGCATCATAAGAGGAGGAGGAGGAGGAGACTGGATTTATACCCCACCCTTCACTACCAGAAGGAGCCTCAGAGCGATTTATAATCCCTTTCCATTTCCCCTCCCCACAACAGACACCCTGTGAGGTGGATGGGGCTGAGAGAGCTCTCTCAAGAACTGCCCTTGAGAGACCAGATCTGAAATAACTTATGACTGACCCAAGATCACACCAGCAGCTGCAGGTGGAGGAGTGGGGAATCAAACCCGGTTCTCCCAGATTAGGGTCCATGATCCTAACCACTACACCAAACTGGTGTAGTCTATCATAAGAGGTATAATAAGAGGTAAGATAAATATATCATAAGAGGTAGTCATGTGACCTCTGGGAACTTTAGTTCTCTTATGAGCGCTAGGGATCTCGAACAGAGTTCTCCTCCTCACCAAAGATGCTTAAATTGTTTGGGCAAGCCATGGGAAAACTGATAAATGCTTGCAGTGTCTCAGGATCAAAGAAACAAAATACTGGTAAATTGATCTTCTTAAAGAGATGCAACAAAAGAGATATCTTGGATGGTAATGCTCAAATATTTTCATCATTACATGTAGATTTTTCACTGGTATTTTTTCTGATCAACATAAATATGATTTTAAGGTAAAGGTTTCCCTTGCTCGAAGGGAGCGGTGCTCATCTCTATTCCAAGCCGAAGAGCCAGCGCTGTCCGAAGACGTTTCCGTGGTCATGTGGCCGGCATGACTAAACGCCAAGGTGCACAGAACGCTGTTAC